AGGGTATTTCAAAAGGAGGATGAAAGAGACGTTAGTCTTTGTTTATGGGCTTCAGGAGGCCGAAGGAGCAGCTTATGAAAAAAAGACGACATAGAGAGGAGAAAGAGACTGAAAATATCTTGAAAGAGACAGGAGAGGAAGACATGACCTAGCTGACAAATTTCACAGAACAGGGAGGTTTCTCAGTGGGAAGAAACTGTCCAGTCAAATTGATTTTTAAGTCAGAAATGATGCAAAATAGGATCCTGCAGAAGAAAATATGACTAAGGGGCTCATCAAATTACCAGTGGGTGTACCTTGACCATGGCAGAATACGTGAAGAAAGACAGAAAGTGAGAGGATACAAAGACGCAAGGAGCAGGAAAGAGAGTCAAGGGTGGAGACGGGCAGGGCAACCCAGACTCAGGAGGAAGAGCAAACACAACCTCCCTCAGAACCTCCCACAGAAGACCCTCGACCCCGACAACCCCACCTCAACCAAGAAAATTATCCCAAAACAACCTCCACCTTCACACCCAAACCTACAGTCCCAACCGACACCACAAACTCTACGTTCACAGCAGCCTCATATTATCCTGCTAGGTCTCCCACTCTCCCAGCCCCCACAACCCTCCCTCCCCCCGAACCACAGTATTAGAAAAGAAGCTGAAGATATGGAACACCAACGGAATGGAATAAGAAATAAATGTGAAGAGTGTCATGAAAGAATCATGGACGCATCCCAGACAGTATAGTACTCAGGGAAACAAAGCTCAGAGGGATGATCCTGTTATCAATCCTGAGGAGAAATAGAGGGGGGCAGAGGGAAAGGAGGAGTTGCAATGTTCATCAAAAATGAATTGGGATTTGAGGAAATAGAAGGAATGGACAGAATGGAAGCAAGGGACTAGATAGTAGGAAAACTTCAGATTGGTGTCCCAAGATGGTGAATGCAGTGATTTACAACCCGCCACAGAATAGCAGAAGGCCAAAACAAGAATATGATAAGAGCACCAGAACAATAGTTGATACACTAGCTGAGGTTGCAAGAAGGGCCCACATGGGCAGGGGAAAGTTACTAGTTGTGGGTGATTTCAATCACAAGGAGATTGTCTGGGGAAACATTTAGCTACATGGGGGACCATAAACGTGGAGAGCTAAGATGTTGGAGGTGGTACTGGAAGAAGGCTTTCGACACAGTTCCGCACGAGAGGAAAAGCTAGAGGAGCAGGCAGGAATAACAGGAAAAGAATTGCAATGGATCAGAGAATACCTGACAGGAAGGAAACAACGAGAAATGGTCCAACAACTGGCTTCTGGAGTTTAACCTTACAAAATGTAAAGTCATGAAGACTGGAGAAGGTCAAATAAGACCCCAAACAAAGTATAGGCTAGGGGGCCAAAGTCTGCAAACCTCGCTCAAGGGAAACGATTTTGGGGTGAGTATAATACCGTGAACATCCCCTGAGGCACATGTCAACGAAATAACTGCTTCATCATGTGGGTGCCTGGCAAACCTAAGAATAGAGTTTCGACACCTGAGCAAGGAATCATACAAGACTCTGTACACCGTGTACGTCAGGCTCATATTAAAGTATGCAAAACCGGTATGGATCCCACATCTTGTCTAGGAGGTCAGGAAATTAGAGAAAGTGCAAAGGTTTGCAACAAGTCTAATCCCAGAGCTAAGGGGTATGTCCTACGAGAAGACGTTAGGGAAAATTAATGTGATGACACTGGAGGACGGGAAAGATAGGGAAGATATGATAACGACATATAAAATATTGAGAGGAATTGACAAAGTGGATAGGGACAGAATATTTCAGAGATGGGACACAGCAAGAAGGGGACACAGCTGGAAGTTGAAATCTCAGAAAGTCACAGGGATGTTAGCAAGTATTTCTTCAACCATAGAGTTATCAGGAGGTGGAACAATCTGGGAAGTGATGTATTGAAGGTAGGATCTATACACTGCTTTAAGAAGAGATATGACAAAGTTCATGGAGCATGGAAAGAGTGGACCTAGTAGCTACCAGCGAAGAGGCGGTGACAGGAACTGTGACTCGATCCCTGCAACCAGAAATAGGTGAGTACAAATAGGTGAGTACACACACACACACACACACACACACACACACACACACACATCGAAGACCAGGCAGAACTACAAAGGGATCTGGACAGGCTGCAGACCTGGTCCAGCAATTGGCTCCTGGAGTTCAATCCCACCAAGTGCAAAGTCATGAAGATTGGGGAAGGGCAAAGAAGGCCGCAGACGGAGTACAGTCTAGGGGGTCAGAGACTACAAACCTCACTCAAGGAAAAAGATCTTGGGGTGAGTATAACACCAGGCACATCTCCTGAAGCGCACATCAACCAAATAACTGCTGCAGCATATGGGCGCCTAGCAAACCTCAGAACAGCATTCCGACCATCTTAATAAGGAATCGTTCAGGACCCTTACACCGTATTTCGTTAGGCCCATATTGGAGTATGCGGCACCAGTTTGGAACCCACACCTAGCCAAGCACGTAAAGAAACTAGAGAAAGTGCAAAGGTTTGCAACAAGACTAGTCCAGAGCTAAGAGGTATGTCCTACGAGGAGAGGTTAAGGGAAATCAACCTGACGACACTGGAGGACAGGAGAGATAGGGGGGGGGGGGACATGATAACGACATACAAAATACTGAGGGGAATTGACAAGGTGGACAAAGACAGGATGTTCCAGAGATTGGACACCCGTAACAAGGGGACACAGTTGGAAGCTAAAGACACAGATGAATCACAGGGATGTTAGGAAGTATTTCTTTAGCCACAGAGTAGTCAGTAAGTGGAATAGTTTGGGAAGCGATGTAGTGGAGGCAGGATCCATACATAGCTTTAAGCAGAGGTATGATAAAGCTCACGGCTAGGGGAGAGTGACCTAGTAGCGATCAGTGAAGAGGCGGGGCCAGGAGCTCGGACTCGACCCCCGCAACCTCAACTAGGTGAGTACAACTAGGTGAGTACATCCTCGCTTTGCAAACTTTTTTTTAATATTTAAATTTTCCACCACAACATTTACTTACTTATTTTAACCAGAGTTGGCGTCGTTAATGATATAATTTCATCTATTATTGACAAGTTTTTGTCTACTCTCTTTTGAAGGGCTTTTATGTCAATTTTACCACAATCTCCTTACCAATTACCGTTTCATTAATCTTTCTCAGTATTTTCTCAACTGCGAGGCAGTTGTCAAGTAATTCATCTCATAATCTTTTACCATTATGTACCACATGCGTAAAATATGTTTTCAATAAGTGCCGGAGAAAATCTGTTACTGACTCTGCAAACTATTTCTTGTTTTATCTTTGCACAACTTACGAGATATTCTCGAATGGGTACCTTGATACGGCTGACTAATTGCTTTTTGCCTTTTGCTTCTTCCTGTGAACTTTCGTTTATAACCTGAGAACACCTCGTTCAATCGTCTTCAACTTTTTAAGACGGGTTTAGTGTACCATGGGAAAGCTTCCCTGTAATTGTTACCGCGTGCAGGTTCCTCCTGATCAAATTATGCAGCTTATTCCTGAAATTTCGGTTTTTGTAAGATAATGAAGGGTTCTCTTCTGAATGGTGTCAAAATTGGAATATCTGAATTGTTAATGGAGTGTGTATCATTTTCCCAGTTTTTGTTCGTAAAATAGCGTGATTTCTTTTCCTGTCATATCATGTTGAACATAATTAAGTTTACCCCTTTTAAACGACTTCAATATTTAATGATTGATGCAGCTTACAGACAGGATACCACTGAATAAGTTCCGTTCATGTAGGTACAAATTTACCAGTATCCCCCCAATAGTTAAAAAAAAAAGTGGTAGCGATGGAATATGTGATTATAGGAGAATACCTCTTCTGACCGACTTCAGTCTATTGACACTAGCAATTAACCACAAGGCTCGCGTAGCTATTGGGCTGCATTGGACATTGAATATTTGTTAACCAAACAAAGTCTCTTCTGATTGGCTTCGAAACATTAATACTGATGTATTTGTTAACAAGGATGATGCTCTGTGGGTTGAGTCAGCGTAAGAGGAAATTTGAAATTTTACTGACTTACTTTCTTACAAAAGCCTTCAACGTTGGTCGCTCTTATTTAGAGAAAATTTTGGATTGATTTTGGATTGTGCAGGTTCCAGTGTGACATTTCTATGTAAGAAATTGGGGAAATTGAAGAACTGGATTTCGTGTAAAAATCTCCGAGTGCTTCATCCTACTGGTTTCAGCCCCTCAACCCTCTTCATTTTAGCATCAAACCCGGTGTGTCTTAGTGGAAGGGTTGAAGTATCTACGTTGAAGTTGTGTATGCATTCTGCACTATTCCATTCGCTCATTTTTCTGTAGACGTTAGTGTTCAAGATAACAACACCACCTCCTTTATCGGCAGTGATGATTCTGAGGTTCGTGTCTTCTGCTAAAGATTTGAGGGCAGTGTCGGAGTTATGCAATACGGGATACATTTCTGGGATCGTGCAGCGAATGAAATACATTTAGTATTGGGATACCATTTTGAAAAACCAAAATTTAGTTGGGAAGCCGTCACTCAATATAACAATCAGAGAAATTTGTGATTGCAACAGTGAAATAACTCGGTTAAAATAATTTACATAGAGATTAATAAAAAAAAGATTAAGAATATTTCTCAAAGAAGACACTCAGTTAATTCACACTTTTGTAAAAAAAAAAAAAATATTTGGGGTTCTGACCCAAATTTGGTGGGACACCACCCCTAAACCCGGAACTGTCCAGGTTAAACCGAGATGGATGGAATCCCTGTTATAAAAAGACGTTTTCATCGTTTTCTGACAGTGAAGAGTTCATAAACTTTCCTCGAGGATTTGAGGATTTTTGACATACAGATATAAGAAAATATCGCGTTTACTTAACAGGAGTCAACCTGAAGGATGCTCCAGGGGTCAACGCCCCCCGCTGCCAGGTCCATAACCAGGCCTCCCGACTAACGGTGGTCCCTCCTACAACCTTTCCAGCACATCTCTTTTAAGTTAATATTAGAATTTTTTTTCTAGAATACTTTGGAACAGATCCAGAGGCGCCTCTAACCAGAAGAGACAGTAAACTAGCCCAGCTTAAAGTTGCTTCTAAGCACTCTCATTTACACTGTTTTTATCACACATTTACCTACCAGTTCATTGCACTGTCTTCATGGAAGTAATAACACTCTCCTCCCAACCTCAAAAACGACCCAAGGCATTCTGTGATGAGGAGAAAACTTGGGGTTAACTCTAAGTGATGTTTATAAAACTTACATTAATGTGAGAGTAATGTCAAATAATATTTTCTTGGAAATGTGTTTTAGATAGTACTATATAGCAGCAATACTTATATATTATTTTAACTAGTTAAATATTACCTGATTTATGAGAGCGGGTTCTACTCTATTATGGTGTAAATTTGGTTACATAGTCTGTTCTGGGGTTTCTGAATTAGTACTACTTTGCTTAAATGACTTATTTACACTGAATCAGTGTAAATTAGTTGTAAGAGACGTGAATACAGACTGAAGTAGTGATTCAACATTATAGGTAACTGAACTAATTTACACTAAGTCAACATTCTAGTTAATGTCAATTATGCGCACTAATTCCGTTTTTTATATCAAAACATTTTTTTTAATCTTATCTTCTATCCTGTTATGTATTTAGTTCAACTTTGAGCATCAATCCCTTGGTGTAAAATAAAGCAGTGTTTCAACTAATAATAAAGTAATAACAGCTTTTACTCCAGAAGACACTTGCCTTCCGCCTCTGTTATTTCAACTCTCCTTGAGCCTGTCAGTGACCGGCCAGGTAGGTGCACAGTGCATCTCCACTCTCCAAGATCCTCATTACTGACAGAGTCAATGATAATGCCGCACTGGTTGTTCGTGAGGTCCTCCGGAGCTCTCATCCCATGGTGAAAGCCAGTGTGGACATCCTCTACCTGTCAGTTAAATGTAGAGATACAATCTGCTCTCCAGTTTCCCATCTCTCATTCCTGCAGGCTCGAAATATTTCAGAAATCTTTATATTTGTTATTCTTGGTTACGTTAAGGTTTGGTTAGGTTAACTCATATTAATCTATATTCACGAATAATTAATCAACAGTAACTAAACAAAGAAACTATTTTTTTTCAGGACAGGCAACGATGGGTCTATTGTAAAATATCGTTAATATTCAAAAGTTGGAAGACAACATAAGAGACGACATCCTAATCAAGTTATTAATAATTTAAATAAGGACACCATCAACTTGTCATCAGAGATATTCAGGATATCATCAACCTTTCAACAATTATCATAGGAACTATGTGGTGGTCGTGATATTCTTTTGTTCGCTTGGTAAACCAGCTCAGTGATAAGCAAACTCTGACATTCTGGTTGTGGAAGATTTTAAGACAGTGTTTCTTAAACTAAAAGCCAATGTTCCTGCGTAAGCCAGGGTTAGTTATGACAGGCTTCAGTCCAGCCGTATTGCGAAATGAGTAAAGAGACTAGAATCAGACAAGCCAAAGAGAGGAAAAGAAACAGAAAACTATAATTTCTATAAAAACTGTTCAGTCAGCTATATTCTTGCTTGTTCTGAGACGCTGTAGAACATGAAGTTTTCACTGAACTTAAAAGAGACTAACGGGAATCACCTTATTGTCTCTGACTGGAAGAGAATTTGGGCTTTGCAGACCACTTTTTTTTGTGATTTGCCAGCAGTATTATCCTGAAAGTTGGCTTATAATTAAAAAAAATGCAAACTAACAATTAGGATTTTCATGTTTTCATGAAAGTGATATCACTTTGTGAAAATGTACAATACTCGACTCTTCATAAACACGTTTTCAGACTGAATAGTTTTCAGAGCGCACAGCATTGTTGTTTTGTTTCCATCTTTAGATATCACGGACGAGTATCATTAGAAAAATTTTCCACACTGAGGAGCCATAATGTTTAGTCACCATTTGCTGCTGTCATTCTATGTACGTCAAACTTGGTCACGTCGAACAACTAGTAAAGGTAATGGACATGGATCATCCAACATTTATATACCTGTTAGAAAAGTTTCCCAAACAAAGTGTGGCCAAGATTGAGGAAGCCGCATACATGAGTCCATAAATTTGCTACCTTATGTCTGCCAGTGATTTTCACATGGTGATGAATGATCTGGAGTTAGCAACTTGGAATTCGTTCAAAGAACGTCTGTGACGATTGTCTTGGCAGGTAGAGAGACAACAGCCACAGTACCAGGAGCTGGTAAATCAACTGCTTCAAAGTTACGGATGCCGGGGCTGCAGCATGTAACTCAAACTAAATTTCCCCCACTCACATTTGTTTTTTTTTCTCGACAACTAATCGGACATGAATGACGAGCATGGAAGAAGATTCCATAAATATGATGCAGCAATGAAAATACGCTGCAAAGACAAATGAAGTTCCACAACTGTTGATTTCCGTTGTACGATGCAACGAGATCGGCTAGGTAAAAGGACACAAGTGCAACTAATGTGACATTTTATTGTGGAAACGTTTCGCTCTCCAGAAGCTTTGTCATGCCATAACAGCTTGACAAAGCTCTTGAAGAGCGAAGAACTGCCACAATAAAATATCACATTAATTGCACTTGTGTTCTTTAATTAATTAACCTAACATATTGTCGGTAATTATACCAACAATATTACAACAAGATCAGCTATCATAGGCATCCACGTTACAGCGCCAGACTAAACATTTTCAAAATATTTGGGATGTTAACTGATACGAAGACTTTCTTTATACTTTTTAGTACATGAGTTTTCTGAGTATGATAAAATAAGGCATATAAAGAAAAAAATTCTTAATTTAATAAATGGGACGCCAAATGAAAATATATTACAAATCTTAATTTTTTGGTTTTTTAATTTAAATAACCAACAAATAAAGTAATTAAAATAAAAATTTTGCACTGGGGACAACGCCGACCCATTTTGATAACCCAACATAATATAATATCAATGAAAAATCCCTTGGAAAAAAATTTTATTTAAAAGGACCAATGAAAAAAATTGACATTTATTTGGAAAACTTTCCTAAAACCCGGGAGAAAAGTGAAAAAAAGGGGTCACAAAAGGCATTGGCCTTTTACACATATTTCGGGAACAACCCTTTTTAAAACGAATTATTCGGGAACATTGTAAGAGGTTCATTTTGGGTAACTCCTATTTTTCCCCCTAAACAGTAAGTTATATATATGACTTACGGACTTTTCAAAAGGGGTAAATATAAAATTCATTTAATTGGAGTCTCAAAACAGGCTATCATATAACAAAATTTAAACAGGTGGATTTACTTATTACTTTTCAAAGATGTTTAATAATTAGCAGAATTGCTTCGGTGGGTCGCTATGGGCAAACACCGTATGATGTTTTTTTTTTCTTTAAGAAAACTGATGCCAAGGGGTCATACGGTAAACAGTATCTTAATACTAATAAAATGGACGGGAATAACTATTGTAATATCAAGTACCACTGAAGAACCCTTTGGGAGATAAACCCCCTTTTTTGCTTTAGAGCAAGGGTTTTTTAACTGGGGGGCCGCCCCCCGGGGCGTGAAATTTCCATGGGAAGGGGGCGAGTGTCCAAAAAAAATAAATAAAATATTTTATTTTGCTATTTGCTCCTTAAACGTTGAAGTAAAAACAATTTTTTCCAATTTTCCTGGTTTAAAAAAAGAAGATTTTTTTTTTATTTAATTTTACATTAAAATTTTATAAGATAAAATTTTGTAAAAGTTATATTTTTACATTTTTTTTCCTTAAAAGATTTTTCTTTTTGGGGAACATTTTTTAAAAATTAATGAAAAAAGTTAAGAATAAATTAAAAAAAAAAAAACCGGGGGGGGGGGAAAAAAAAAAAAAAAAAAAATTAAGAAACTTTTTTAAACAGTTTTTCCTTTTGTTAGGGGGGGGGGGGGGGGGGGGAAAAAGGGGGGGGGGGTGGGGGGGGGGGGGGGGGGGGGGGAAAAAGCGGGGGGGGGGGGGGGGGGGGGGGGGAAAAGGGGGGGGGGGGGGGGAAGGGGGGGGGGGGGGGAAAAAGGGGGGGGGGGGGGGGGGGGGGGGAAAGTGGGGGGGGAAAAAAGGGGGGGGGGGGGGGGGGATTTTGGGGGGTCGGGGGGGGGGGGGGGAAAAAAAAAAGGGGGGGGGGGGGGGAAAAAGGGGGGGGGGGGGGGGCGGGGGGAAAAAAGGGGAGGGGGGGGGGGGGGGGGGTTTTTGGGGGGGGGGGGGAAAAAAAAAATTTTTGGGGGGGGGGGCCCCCGGGGGGGGGGGAGGGGGGGGGGGGGGGGTTTTTTTTTTGGGGGGGGGGGGGGGGGGGGGTTTTTTTTTGGGGGGTTTTTTTTTTTTTTGGGGGGGGAAAGGGGGGGGGGGGAAAAAGGGGGGGGGGGGGGGGGGTTTTTTTTTTTTTTTTAAAAAAAAAAAATTTTTTTTTTTTCCTTGGGGGGGGCCCTTTTTTCCCCCCCCCTTCCTTCCCCCCCCCCTTTTCCCTTTTCCCTTCTCCCCCCCCCCCTTTTTCTTCCCCCCCCTTTCCCCCCCCCCCTTCCCCTTCCCTCCCTCCCTCCCGGCCTTTCCCTTTTCCCCTCCGGCCTTCCCCTCCTCCCCCTTCCCCCCTGCCCTTCCTCCCTTCCTTCCTCCTCCCCCTTCCTTTTCCTTCCCTTTCCCCCCTTCCTCCTTCCTTCCCTTCCTTTCCTTCCTCCTTTCCCCTCCCTTCCTTTCCCTTCCTTCCTTCCTTCCCCTTCCTCCTTCCTTTTCCTTCCCTTCCTTTCCCCTCCCTTCCTCCGCCCTTTCCCTGGGGGCCCCCTTCCCCCCCTTCCTTCCTTTCCTCCCTCCTTCCCTTTCCCTTTCCCTTTCCTTCCCTTCCTGCCTCCCCCCCCTTCCTTCCCTTCCTTCCCCCCTTCCTTTTCCCTTCCTCCCCTTCCCTTTCCTCCCCCCTTCCTCCTTCCTTCCCCCTTCCTTCCTCCCTTTCCTTCCTTCCCTTTTCCTCCCCTTTCCCTTCCCCCTTCCCCCCCCCCTTCCTTCCCCCTTTTCCTCCTTTCCGTCCTTCCGGGCCTCCTTCCCCTTCCCCCCCTTCCTTCCTCCCCTTCCGGCCCTTTTCCCCCTTCCGGCCTTCCCTCCCTTCCTCCCCCCCCCCTTTTCCCCCCCTTCCTTCCGCCCCCCCCTCCTCCTTCCTCTTCCTCCCCCTTTCCCTTCCTTTCCCCTCTTCCCCTCCTCCCTTCCCCCTTCCTTTTCCCCCCTTCCCTTTTCCTTCCTTCCCCTTCCGCCCTTCCTTCCCTTCCCTTCCCCCCCTTCCCCTTCCCCCCTCCTTCCTGCCCCCCCCCTTCCTTCCTTCCCTTTCCTTCCCCCTTCCTTCCCCTTCCTTCCTTCCTCCCCTCCCTTCCCTCCCTTCCTTCCTTCCGCCTTTCCCCCCTCCCCCTTCCCTTTCCCTTTCCCCTTTTCCCTTTCCCCCCCCTTTCCTTCCTCCTTCCTTCCCCCCTTTTCCTCCTTCCCCCTTTTCCTTCCTTCCTCCTCCTTTCCCCTTCCTTCCTCCCCCTTCCTTCCTCCCTCCTTCCTTTCCCTTTCCCTTCCTTTCCTCCCCCCTTTCCTTTCCCTTTCCTGCCTTGCCCCCCTTTTCCTTCCTTCCCTCCTTTCCCCTTTCCCCCCTTCCTTCCTTCCTCCCCCCCTTCCTTCCCTCCTTCCCCCTTCCTTCCTTCCCTTTCCTTCCTCCCCCTTCCTTCCTTCCCCCCCCCTTCCTCCTTCCTTCCCCCTTTCCTTTCCCCTTCCTCCTTCCTTCCTTCCCCCCCCTTTCCCCCTTTCCCCCCTTCCTTTCCTTCCTTCCTCCCCCCCCCCCCCCCTTCCTCCCTTCCTTCCTCCTTTCCCCCCCCCTCCCCCCTCCCCCTTCCTTCCTTCCCCCCTTTCCCTTTCCTTCCTTTCCCCTTCCTCCCTTCCTCCTTCCTTCCTCCTCCCCCCCCTTTCCCCTTCCCCTCCTTCCCCTTTCCCCTTCCTTTCCTCCCTTCCTTCCTTCCCCCCCCTTCCCCCTTTCCTTCCTCCCTTCCTTCCTTCCTTCCCCTCCTCCCCCGTCCTCCCTCCTTTTCGGGGCCCCCCTTCCCCCCAACCCACCTTTTCCCCCCCCCCCCGAACCCCCCCCCCACCTCGCCCCCGGGGCCCCAAACCTAACCCAAAACAACCCTTAAACCCAAATTTGGAACTTTTAAACCGGGCCCCCTCCAACCCAAAAACCAAAACACAAACTTTAAAACCAAAAACCACCCCAAAATAATATTCCTTTTTTGCGTTTTAAAAAAAAAATCAAAAAAACGTCGCGAACAAGATGAAAAAACAACGACAGGTGAAGGAAAAAAATCTCAGTTTTTTGGGTTTCAAAAACACATCAGACTTGCAAGGTTTAAATTTAAGGAGGCCCAGCAAAAATGGGGAAGGGGGGGGGGGGGGGGGGTTGGGGGGGGGGGGGCCCCCCCCAATCCTTTTTCAAAAACCCCTAAAATTTTAACCCCCTTTTAAAAATAAATTTTTTGAAAAAAGGTAAAGGATAAAAAATTTAAAATTTTTTAAAAAGAAAAAATTTAAATTTTTTTATTTTTTTAAATTTTAAAATATTTATTTACAAAATATTTTAAAATTTTTTTAAAAAAAATTAGGGAATTTTCTAAATTTTTGGTACAAAATTTAAAAATTTTTTTATTTTAAAGTAAAAAAAAAAAATTTTTTAAAAAAAAAATTTTTTTTGGGGTTTTTTTTAAAAAAATTTTCTAAAAATTTTTTTGGAAATTAAAATTTTAATATTTTAAAAAAAAATTTTAAAATATAAAATTATAAAAAATATTAAAAATTTTTAAAATAAAAAAAATTTTATAATAAAATAAATATAATATAAATAAATATAAAATTATATATAAATATATATATAAAATTTAAAAAATTTTTTTTTTAAAAAGGGAAAATTTAATTTTTTTTAAAATTAAAAAAAACGGGCCCCGGGGATCACCTAAACAACAAGTCCTTTTTTTAAAAAAAAATTTTTTAAAAAATTTAAAAATTTTAAAAAAAATTAAAGGGGGAAAGGGAAATAAATATTTCCCCCCCCTTTTTTAAAAAAAATTTTTTAAAAAAATTTTTTTTAAAAATTTTAAAATTAAAAAAATTTTTTTTTAAATTTTAAAATTTTAAAATTTTTTAAAAAAAAATTTTTAAAAAAATTTTTTTTAACCTATTGGAAAATTCCCTTTCCCCAAAGGAAAATTTTTGGGCCTTCCCCAAATTCCCCCTCCTGGAGACAAGTTTTCCCCCGTTTTAGGGGGTAACCTCAAAATTTAAATTCGGGGGGAAAAATTTTTTTAAAAAAATGGTTTTTTTTGGTTTTGGAAATTTTTAACCCCCCAAAATTTTTTGAAATTTTTTTTAAAAATTTTTTAAAATTTTTTTTAAAAAAAACTTTTAAAACCCTTTTTGGGTGCGGGGAAGAAAAAAAAAATTTCCCCCTTTTTCTTTGGGAAAATGGAAGGGGGGGTTTTTCCGGGGGATGGAACCCATGCAAAATCCCTTTTTTTTATTGTTCAAAGCCCCCAAGGGTTTTAAAAAAATTTTTTTTTTTTTTTTAAAAATTTTAAATATTAAAAAAAAAAAAATATTAAAAATTCTTTTTAAAAAAAATAAAAAATTTTTTAAAAAAAAATTTTTTTTTTTTAAAAAAACCCAAAAAAAGGTTTTTTTTTGTTAAAAGGAAAAAAAATTTTTTTGGTTTTTTTTTGTAAAACCCCCCGGGAAAAGGGGATTTAAAAAAAAAAAAGGGGCCTCCTGAAAAATTTTCCCCCCAAAAAAAAATTTTGGAAATTTAAAAAATTGTTAAAATTTTTAAATTTTTTCCTTTTAAAAAAATTTTTTTTTAAACCCAAAGTTTATTTTTAATGTTTAATTTAAAGTTTTTCTTTTAAAAAAATTTTTTTTTGGGTACCCGTGGGGGGTTTTTTTTTTTTGGGGGGGGCCCCTGGGAAAAAAACCCTTTTAAAAAAAAAAAAAACCCCCCCAAAAAAAAAAAATTTTTTTGGATATATATATTATATATATAATATATATATATATATATATATATATATTATTTTTCAACACACCGGCCGTATCCCACCGAGGCAGGGTGGCCCAGAAGGAAAAACGAAAGTTTCTCCTTTTACATTTAGTAATATATACAGGATAAGGGGTTACTAGCCCCTTGCTCCCGTACTGAGCATCAGTAATAACGTAACATCTTGCATAACGGTGCCATTTATCTGCGATTGTACAACCGCTGGCGTACCTGAGTTAAATTTCCACCTCCACTAAAGACGTTAAGGGTGGCACTGTGTCTTGGTATTATGAGGTGTAAAGCCGCTTAAAATATTCACAACATTTACCAGTTATATAAGATATTAGCAGTTTGGAGGGATATGTTGTGTATCTTTATACGTATATGCTTCTAAACTGTTGTGTTCTGAGCACCTCTGCAAAAACAGTGATTATGTGTGAGTGAGGTGAAAGTGCTGAATGATGATGAAAGTATTTTCTTTTTGGGGATTTTCTTTCTTTTTGGGTCACCCTGCCTCGGTGGAAGACGGCCGACTTGTTAAAAAAAAAAAAAAAAAAAAAAGAGCAACATACCTGAAACAAGGTACTAGAGCTATTTATTCATTCTCTATTTCTTAGGTAACTAAACTATAATTAAAGTTCGTAAAAAAATTTGTTTTGGCGAAGTGGAAATGACCTGTTCCTTTTATGAAACCTAATTATGTTTCATATCGCTTCACAGTTTTTTGTATTATGAATACAATGCTACTATTACTACTACTACTACTACTACTACTACTACTACTACTAATAATAATAATAATTATTATAATACATAGTTGAGTAATCTTATTCACGAAATCTGATTGATATTTATGAGGTACAAATTGGTTGATACTGAAAACTCCCTAGATGAAGCGTCGATTTATAATTTTTCTTTAATATATTTACAGACAATACCTGAAATATATTTCCTCTGTCGTTCTCCCAGACACAGTGACGGAAGTCCTGTTCGACGCCGCAGTTAAGTGCCAGCGACTCCCCCGTTATCACCTTCACGTGGGTGGCGTCGAAGATAAGGGTGGCGTCTGCTGGGGGCAGAGACGCTCTGTGAGGAGTCAAGATAATTTATGCTTACGTGGACACAGAACCTGTTGTTGACCAAGGTTGAGTGCCGACAAGGATTCTAATACTCACCTGACAGACTCAACTCCCCAAGGAAGGTTCCTTGATGCTGGTGAGGGGCTTTTGATCTAGGGAATTGGATCTGTGCCCCAGTTTCCTGAATTAAGCCTGAATACCTTCCACATCACCCCACAGTGCTCCCCCTTAATTATAATAAAAATAATAATAATGATAATAATAATAATAATAATAATAATAATAATAATAATAATAATAATAATAATAATAATAATAATAATAATAATAATAATAATAATAATAATAATGACAGACGCAAATATCGTAAATGAAAGCCGTCACTGGGGTTAGAGGTGAGCAAAAAATGCCACCACAAACTAGTAACTCACATCCTATCTGTTCTCAGAGATAATTATGTTTAGGTAAATGGATAAAAAAGTGCATTGCACACAGTGATCTGTAGACTCACAAAAGCTAACCATTTACTCATAGTTTAAACACAATTGAAAGTGATACCTCTAGAAAATATGTTATAGAAGAAAAAAGTATTAAAAATAGTTAATTTAAATAGTGAGGGAATAAGGGGTATATTTTCTCCATTATTATTTGGAGCACTTAACTTAGAACACCTGCCTGAAGAAGACGCCAACGATAACACCACCGTCGCCACGAAGCAGCCCAGGTGACCCATGACGAAGATCATGTAGTGGTGTGTGTGTATATACATGTGTGTCTCTATCAGCGCTGAGTTATATACACGTTAGTGGAAGCGCAGAAGGAAGAAAGCTATTGCTATCGCAAGTTGCCCTCGTAAGTGTTATCATTTTTTTTTTAATTTGATTTGAGAGCGAGTGATTAGAGAAATAAAAGTTCCCATCATGAACATCTGTTCGAGGCTCACACACACAGGATGACAGCGGTGCAAGTCACATGATAACAATACAATATGGGTTGGATATTATTACGTTCAGTAAAAATATCGGGAAGGTTTGACTGACTGCCGGCCACTGCATTGAAAAATTATGCTCAAGTACTGAAAAATAGTATTAGAGGCCTATCCAGTTTTACTGGAATATTTTATATCTTTACATTTTTCAAGTTTGTCCTAAACAGAAACGGAAACAATCCGTGCATTGAATACTGGGCAAAATTTATTATCAAAAGTTTTCACAGTTCGCAAGTTCATAAAACTCAGATTGATTTACCTTTTATAATCACCTGAAAGGTAAATAAAATTATTGCAAAATATGTTAAGGCTAAAAGCTTTCTGGAGAATAAGTTGTAAGCAAATTCTAGAGAGTTTCCTTAGCTTGCTTAAAATAATTATCAATTCGCAGATCGAGGTTCTCTTAGTTCTGTTCTCGTAACTTGTATTAATATCTTCCTCGATGTGTTAATCATTGCAGAGTCGCGCTGTGCTTTATTTTCTTCAAATGATCAGTATTATAATAACATACATGTGAGCAAAATTTTTAAGTGCATTATACAAATAATAAACTTGAAAGAATTCTAGACACCTATGAATAATTCTGTCGAGTCTCAAAACTCCAGACCGTCTCGTTAGCCACTGGACCAGCTAGCCACAATAAGATTCGTCCAACTAGGTCTGGAGTTTTGAGACTCTGATCGTGGGTTCCATTTCCGCCCGTGGTATGGTTTAATACTGTCGAGAAATGTCAAAGAGCCATCCAGGTCTATCTTAAAAGCAAATTTAATTGAAGGGAGATAATTACTTGAAGTTGGGAGAAAGTTCTCCAGACACTCATATATTGGCAAAGATACAAAGCGAAGACACTTGCTATCTGGTGGTAATATTTCGTTTAGAATATGTTTCTAAAAGTAAAGTTCCTTTCATGTTATACAGAACAGGAGTTATATTATTATTATTATTATTATTATTATTATTATTCAAAAAGAAGCGCTAAGCCACAAGGGCTAACAGGAGTTAAAGAATTCCTCATAGCCATTTAAATTATCGGGAATAATATTGTCCATTAAACAAGTTTTCAACAATTATTTCACTGATGCAACGAGTGTTGTCTAAAATAAATGATTATATTTGGGTAATTTTTCTCCATGAAAATAGATCTAGCACAATGGTTCTCTGAGAGGCGCCCCACATCCTCGAGGGTGGAATGAACCTTCCGTAGCTGATAAATCCTTACTAGACTGCTTGACGATATCCTCATTACCCTACTGAAGTCTCCCATCTCGGGCTCACACATTTCAACACCGGGAATGAGCGTCATCCTGCGTGATGGAATATTACAGAGAATCATAGTTAGCTTTCGTTCCCACTGTGCAACTATCATATAGAATAGAGTAGTAGCGTACTGGAAAAGTATCCTTCATCCGTAAGCTATATACATCGAAAAATGCAACTAAGATGCAGACCCCAAAGTTTTTTTTTTCTTTTTTTTTTTGGGATCACCCTTCCTCGGTGGGAGACAGCCGGTGTGTTAAAAAAAACGTTAATAGGAATGTTTGTTTTCGTAAAAAATAAGAAATTCGCCTCAAAAATGATAAATATGCATTTGTAGATGACATGACTTATGTTCATTAATGTTGTTTAAATGACTGCATCACTTATATGTGTCACACATGTGGTAACACTGCTTGTGTCACATGTGGTAACACTGCTTGTGTCACACATGTGGTAACACTGCTTGTGTCACATGTGGTAACACTGCTTGTGTCACACATGTGGTAACACTGCTTGTGTCACATGTGGTAACACTGCTTGTGTCACACATGTGGTAACACTGCTTGTGTCTCTTCTATGTGTGTGTATGTGTATGTGTGTGTGTATGTGTGTGTGTGTGTGTGTGTGTGTGTGTGTGTGTGTGTGTGTGTGTGTGTGTGTGTGTGTGTGTGTGTGTGTGTGTGTGTGTGTGTGTGTGTGTGTGTGTGTGTGTGTGTTTGTGTCTGTGTCTGTGTCTGCGTCTGTGTCTGTCTGTGTCTGTATGTGCATGCGTGCGTGCGTGTGTGTGTTTGTGTCTAAAATATATCCAATCTATAACCCGACAAATCCTAACCCTGAGCGAAACATACTCCAAATAAAAGTTTTTACTGTATATTATCTTTATATAAATACATTTCAGCATCGCACCTCTTTATCATACCTTAACGTTCATCAGCTAATTCCTCTCACACATTAGGTTAATGGTGTACAAACCCTTCGTGAAATCATTGCAACATCTTCGTTTTCCAGATCAGTTAAGTTTCGTGCTGATTCGCTTTTCTCTTACCGTATCCACTCTTGTAGCCTGTGGAACAATGAAAGCTTAATGGAGTTATCTTTTCTTCGTGTTTCCTTCCAGTACTGAGAGCTCAGTGCTAGCACACTAAAACACTTTCATCATAGTTTTTAAAGGGGTGGACCGGTAAACCAGCAGAAAGCCTCGATCAGATGACCCAAAGCTCCAGTGGCTAGTTGTTATATAACTAAGATCATCGTCAGGAAACACTTGTTTCCTGACATACCTTACCTAACCTAACCTTCTTTCCATATCTACTTTTGTCTCTAGTCATTCTTGGGTATTCATATTTGTGTTTATACGTATGTATATGCAATAAGATCACAGTAAACAGGTGATTTCAGAATATGCAAAACAACCACTGTGAAAGAATAGAGAAGTTCCAAGCGTTTTCGTGAGTAGTCACGAAAGCGCTTGGAACTTCTCTCTTCTTTCACAGTGGTTGTTTTGCATACGTATGTATATATGTATCAGTGAGGACGGCACTGTCTCCACACAGCACTCAAGATTCCCAGCCTCTCATGGTGGGTACGTCTCCAGATGCTCCTGATATCTTTTTTTTTAATCTTCGTTTACGATGGGATCTGCGTATCATAAAAGTTTTGAATGTTATCACAGAGCCCCTTGCTCCACAAAAAAAAAGAAAAGCCATCTGACCCACAAAGCAATCGTCACTTGGTATATAAAAGCCGATAACATGAAGAAGTAACTCCACTGTAGTGTCAAAGTGGTAAACATGACTTGTGGTTTGATAATTATTCTGTTATCCTTGGTCTCTGCTTTAGGTGAGTATTTTCACTATGACAGCACACACTCTGTCTGACCTCAATGAACAACAGGTTGTAAGTGCACGAGAACATGAGCCGCGGTAACCCTCATCACTTTCCTCGTCTCCAGCAGAGGCCTCCTTCATCTTCGACACCGCTGACGTGGCGGTAACAACGGGAGAGACGTTGGAGCTTAAGTGCGGCGTCAAGCAGGACTTCCGGTACTGTGTCTGGGAAAATGAGAAAGGTTACATATATCAGGTACTGTGTATAAATACACTCACTACACACACACACACAGATATGTAAAAATTATATATATATATATATTATATATATATATATATATATATATATATATATATATATATATATATATATATATATTATATATATATGTACATATATATACATATATATATCAACGCTCTTTTATGGGTGTGAAGCATAGATTGTGAATGTTGCAGCAAGGAGGAGACTGGAGGCAGTGGAGATGCATATGAGGGCAATGTGTTGTGAATATTATGCAGAGAATTAGTAGCTTGGAGAGGGCTGACGAGGGCTTGTTTAGGTGGTTCGGACATTTTGAGAGGATGAACAAAACTGAATGACCTAGAGGCCGTATAAATCTACAGTGGGGGAAAGACAGGATGGGGGCCATCCTAGGAAAGGTTGGAGGGAAGATATCCAGCAAGTGTGTGCGAGCATGTTAGAAAGGAGGCAAGTGGGTTTTGACGTGCTGTTGGAGTATGAGAAACGTAACATTGATGAAGGAATACAGTGAAACCAGTTAGCCGGACTTGAGTCTTGGAGGTGTTAAGTACAGTGATTGCACTCTGAAGGAAGGATGGGGATATTTGAAGTTTTGAACTGTAGTGTAGTATCAGCACGCCTATAGCAAAACAGTGATGGAGTAAATGATGATGAAAGTGTTTTTTCTTTTTCGGGACACCCTACCTACGTGGGAGACTGCTGGTGTGTTCAAGAAAAAGAACAGGTATGCTTGGATTAAAGTGTTACGAACAATGATCTATAAAAATTGAGAAATCACTAGAAGAAATAATTGTGAAAAACTCGGAAAATACATTTTATTTTATAAAAAGGCGAAAATCCACTTGGATAGAAAATTGAAACTCAAGCAAAAAGTGATCTGTGTATTTCAGCCTCAGTCACTTCTGCCGAAGAGGGTCTGACAAAGATCAAAATATGCAGATATCTTTTTTACCAATATTTCAATATTTTGACCAAGTAGTTTCTTACTTTTCTTAAGAAAAAGTGTATTTTCCATTCTGATTAGTTTTGCTAATTGCCACCTTGTCAGCGGTTGAATATATACTCAGTATAACGGATAAGAAGTCAAAAAATTCCTTCACCATGACTGTTGACAGGTTGATAACAGTCTAACATTACTAGAAAACAGGCTGAAAATGTCCTCATCCTAACTACTGGTTGACAGGTTGAGGATGTCCACGCCGGTGTTCACGCCGGGATGAGAGCGCCGGAGGACCTCACAGACAACCAGTGCGGCGTTGTCATCGATTCCATCGGCGCTCAAGACTCGGGGCGTGGACGTGCAAGGTGCACCTCGCTGGCCGTACTCTTGTGGGCTCCAGGAACGTTGGGAAAACAAATATGGGACGTAAGTGTCTCCTAGACTAAAAATAACATTAAGTATAGTCAGTGATTCTATAGTAATTTTTTCTCAGTCTCCGTGCATAGAATCCTCGCATCTCTTCCCACATTTATATTCCTTTTTTTTTACACA